TGTAAATAGGATCACAAGTCCACTTCTTGTACAGCAATTAACCACTGAGAAGAATATATGCAGTGTATTATTTGGTCAAACTGTACTTCCAATTAGATTTGAAACTGTCTCATTGCTGTTTATCAATAAAACTTTGAAAAAAAATAAAATAAAAATCAAATAAAAAAAAATAAAACGAACCAACAGACTTTCCCTGTTTACTTGTCAGCTTGCCCCAGGACTAGGCCCCTTGTCTGGAGATCAGCGGCACCACAGTAAGTGGACCTCTGTGAGTCACGATTCCAGCTGAGGCCTGTGGTGGCCTATGATGCTGTGAAGCCTCAAAGGACAAAAAAGGACAAGATAAGCCTACAGCTGAGGATGCCTGGCTCCAACCCCAGTGAACGAAATAGAGACGGCAACAGCAGGCTTCTCACTCCTGAGGTAAATGTCAACCAGGAGATAAGTAGTCTCTTAATTAGCATCATTTACTACCTGGGAAGTCTTTGTACTGACACCCAAGGCCCTGCTCAGGGGCCCACTTTCTTAGTATCCCCTTCCTTTGTCTGAAAACCAAATAAATATGGGTCGCCCAGAAATGTTGTCACAGCCCCCCCCCCAGCATCACAAATTCTACTAGAGGGTTTTGCTCCTCCTAAACCCTAAAATAGTACCACTTGTCTCTTTTAGTTAAGCCCTGGCCATGCACTTGCTTAGGAGGCTGCAGGCCTGACCAGCCTGCAGTAGTCATCTTAAGTGCTCTGTTCATTGTGGGTAAACCCAGCATGAACAAATCCTGGCACTTGGCTGAGATTCGTTGGAGATTTAAGAGTGAACGGATACACCGAGGAGATAGCTCAGTGCCTGGCAAGCGCAAGGCCCTGCGTTCAATCCCTAGTACAAAAAAAAAAAAAAAAGGATGGATACGTAATCCTTTGGCCTGCTCCTGCTTCCTCACCTGTCTATGTGGACAAAACTCTTAGCTTTGGAGTCCACACTGTGTGCTGGTAGCTAAAACACTGGGCGTCGATGCCATCTTCAAAGCCTCTCGGCTTTGCCTGCTCTGCTCACCAAGCCAGTCTCATTATTGCAGGATAATATCAAGTATTGTTCAGGAGCTTGGGCTGGGAAGACAGACTGCCTCCACTCCAATCTCAGCTCTGCTACCACGAACCTGTTGTTTTGGGAACGCTTCTTAATCTCTCCATGCTCTGGCTTACCCACCCATAAATGGGGTCATGAGAAGTAGGGATCCTACATCCCAAGGTCCTTATAGAGATTGGATGACATAAGGTATGTTGGGGATCTAGAATGGGGCCTACAATAGAAGTCCCAATTCCTTCCCCAGAAGCCATGTGGAAACTAAGGCCAGGCATACTCATGTTTAAATTCCCGACTCCTTCTTCATCCTAGCGCACATATCCAAAAGCATGTCCATATCACATTCAGTGTCTTTTATACTGTAATTCTGGGAAAGTTTCATAGTTCTAAGTGTTCACATTACGAATGACTGGCTAGGCCTTTGGGACCTGAACTTCATCACACCTGGGAGTGGCGCTGTGACCGGCCGTGCATCGTGACGGTGCACCTCACAGCACATGAGGTACCGAAATATTTATCAGCCTCAGGGTGCTCACGCCCTTGTCACATTCAGGGGTACAGCTTATCATACACCATACATTGCTGGGCCCTTGTAAAGCTGGAACATTCTGCTTAGCGAGGAACCCAGCTCTGCAGACAGAGGCCCGGCCTCTGTGGAGTCTGCGGAAAGGTCCGGCCAGCACCCACCCACGGCTGGGGGAGCCTCTCCACTCACCGTTAATGTGGGCCCCTGGCTTCACCCATGCACCAAACAAAATGGGCTCTGTTGCCATGGTGACCGTGACAATCACATCAGCACCTGTCACGGCCTCTCGCACTGACGAACAGACCCGAACCTCTCCTTGCACGGTGTTCGCAAACTTCTCTGCATTTTCTGCGGTGCGGTTCCATATCCTCACCTTCATTGGGGACAGCAAGTGGGACACTCAGGCCATTTTTGGCTATTTAGATTATACCAAATCCAGTGCTGCCAAAGGAAAGCTGACCACTCTGGGGTAGGGCCTGTGATTATCCAAATCACTCTCTATGAAGAACTGATTTTTGATCAAGGACATAGTATTGACTGAGCAGAAACTGGCCAGATAATTGAAAATAAGATTTTCTTCAAGTTTCTCCTCTAAAGAAGGTGTGACCTTTTTCCTTTTGAGTATTAGGCTGGGACGCACAGCCTCCGGGGCTGAATAGCCACTATATAATGTAATGATTAGCAGAGCAAGTTCTACAGCAGGCAGACTTGGAGCCAACCCTTGCCGTGTCACTTACTGCTCCTGCAGTGACTTCACCTTATTCAGCCTTAATTTTCAGATCTACAAAATGGAAAGACAACTGGGTAACGGCAGCATTGAATTCACTCTTTATGTTTTAGATCCTGAGAAGATGTCACAGGACAGGCACATAGCTCGGGGTGCAGCACTTGCCCAGCATGCGGAAGACTGTATTCAATCCTCAGAAAGAAGAAAGAGTCATTGTGATAAGGGTTATAAGGATCGTAGGAAGGATCACTGATGGCAATGGTGTGCATCGGGTGTGACTGGGACCTGCAACTGGGAAGACATTTGATCTCTGAAAGGCATGTCAGGGCTCAAGGTCAAAAGCATTTGAAAGTGAATGGGGTGTTGGGTGGACAGGCCAAGAGCAGAGTCCTGAAGACACTGGGTGGGGGTAGGGGTTTTCACCTGTATTGCCAGGACCTAGGGACCTACGAGCTTGTTAACAGGCTTCAGCGTCTGGGGCAGGGGTTGTCATTTTTAAACTGAAAATAAGGTCTAAAAAGCCTCTTATGAGAAAATATAGGAAGTTCAACAATTAAAGTAAAACTGATATGTCCAGACATAAGTGAGTGGCTCACCATGCCACATTTCTTGATAGGAAACTATGCAAATATTAAGATAAAATTAAATAATGGAAAAGTGATGTTAGAACATGTAAAGAAAAATGGGGATATACAATTATGCACATTTAACATAACCAAACCTATGTTAAAAAAGCTGATGAGAAGAGACTGGAAAACATTAACTGCTTGTCTTTGGAAATGGATATATAAGGGTATTTGTTTCTTACAGTCTGTATTTCCCAATGCAGACATATTACTTTATCATAAAAATGTATGTGTTAAATCTGTTCTACCACTCATATCATACAGAAAATAAAGTAAAAATAGCATTGCATTTCATGAGGAGCAAGCATGAGCCATGCGGGGGCACTTGGGCCAATCTACAGACTGCAGGAGGGGTGTGGGGCCTCGTTCCAGGGTGCATGCCCTGAACACGGGAGGCTTCCGGGATTCTCTCAGGAGAAGCACAGAGAGGGGCCGAAAGGAGGGCTCATTACAGCAGACAGACTAGCACCCTGTAACTAACAGGCGGAATTGCTTCTCCTTAGGCATAGCACTGTGAGCCAAGAACCGAAAGGGGATCAGACTTGCAACTCTTCACCTCCATCACGTGCGATGGGGCTGCCAGGAAGCTCGCTAAGGCACAGAAAAGTCTCGCTGGATTCTTCATCAATTACTCCCGAATAACCCTGCTGCAGTGGAGCAGTACAGATGGCGGTCAGCGGTCGTCTCTTCCTGTGTCTCCCTTCAAGCCCCAGACCCCAGTTTACCTCCTTAAAGGAGAACTGCTCTGTGAAGATCTCATAATGGCTATAGGCCTGGACCCCAGCTCCAAGGATGCACAGCACCTCGCTGTCAGCAGGTTTCAGAAACTATTTGACAGAAATGAGGGAGAAAAGGGCAAAAGACACTGGTGTCAGGTGAAACAAACACTGTGCAGTTCAAATGTCAAATGGCCTCAAGAGCTGGTGGACAATCAAGGAGACGGCACCGCGTGCCTCAGTTTCCCCTCTGTGGAATGTGGAAGGAATGAAAGTGCTTTCGCTGAGCACCTAGTATATGCCTGTGCTTTACTCTCTTGATGTCACTTCCTCTGGATAAGGACCCTATGAGCTGGAGACTCCTGTAGTTCTCTTCTCGTATCTGTAAAAGTAACTTTCAACCTCTGAAACCAAATCTGTATTTTTGATTGGCTGTCTTATTTTATAATTTGCTTCCCTGATAATAGTGTTATTATTGACATCTCTCTTCTTAAATGGTATAAACATTTGTAAGTTTTATTAAATCATAATAGAAATAACGGTCTTTCATTCTTTTCTCATAAGCATGCAGAAATTAAGAACATGAATAGAAATCTGCTGGGTTACTCAGTGAAAACCTGTTTTATTTGTATTCACCTGGTCAGACTTTACTGACCAGCCCACCTGCGTGTCACACTCCCCTGACTTCCTGTCTTCCAGCCTCAAGCCTAGGTGCCTTCTACAATCACTGGGTCTTTGCACAGTGTCTTTCTGCTGCCTGGAATGATTCCTTTCTCCTTCTCATGAGTAATTCTTGTTATGTATTAAATTCCATCTCAAATATCTATCACATAGTAAAAGCCTCCCTGAATCCAATGGACTAGACTTAGATCCCGTGTTCTACACACTTATGGAAACTATCAGCATCGCAATCCCCACGGACTGGCACAATCTTTGGATGAACACCTTGTTTCCTGCCCAGGGCCCTCTCCTCGTGCCAACAGGCACTGTGTCTGACTGTGCCCAGCATTGTTTGCATCATCCCAATCACAGGACCTGGAACTGGTACCACTTAAGTATTTCAAGTGCGTATTTGTTGAATACATGCATGACAGACAGGGAAAATACAGATATTTGCTATCACCTTGAGGAAGCACAGGAGAGTCCTCAACTAAGGTCATGTGAAAGCCAAACACAAAGAAGTTAATTTGTCCTGCAGACCCCAGAGTCTCTTATACTTCTTACATTTTTTCCTAAATGAAAAAGCAGTGGTGAACATAAAGACCCCCCCAACAGACCCTTCGATCTATATTGACCTAGCCCATCTGAGCCCCTGAGAATAAGGCTGAGCGTCATCCTAAACTTCAAAGTGTCAAACCAAAGTGTTGATGTAACTGAACACGGGGTTACTGAGGGTTGGATCTACACCAGCATGATTCCTAAACCCAGCTGATCACAAGAAAAAGAAAAAAGAACAGTAACTTTCCTGCACCCCCCACTTAGTAACTTTGATTTAGTGATTCAGAGAATAGGTTGAAAGTAATTCCAGTGAATGTTTAAATAAATATGTTATTACAATAAGACACGGTGCTATCAGTTCCCCTCAAAATTCACCTCCTCACTTTGAACACATCTCATTATTTATATCACTTACTGAAGCAGTTCTCAAAAAAATTTCTTTTCATATCTTTGCTGGGTGTGATAAAAAATACAGTGACTGCTATCATTAAGCGGAAAGGCAAGCTCACAAAAACATTACAGGTGTCCTTATCCATCTTAGTCACCAGTCTAGTAGCATGTAGCTTCTGCCTCTTGCCCAAAGTCAAAATGACCAGGGAGGTAAGTGCTTTGAATCAGGTTAGAACCTTGAGGCACCAAAGACAGAAGAGGACTCCAGGACTGCTGCAGTAATGGTGTGTGTCTGAGGCAAGAGGTAATATTTTGGGGGAATTGTGGTAACATGTCTTTTACTATAATAATCTTTTGAAAATTTAAGCTCATACTGTAGTTTGATCCTTCAGGAAACCCTCCTCTCCATTTCATTCTGTGTAAAATGAGTCCAATAAAACTTGCTCCACCTGCCTCAAAGAAGCGCAGAGCCAAGGGAATGAATGAGTTGGAAACCGTTTTGGAAAAGACCAAAGACCTTCACAAATGCAAGGTAATATAAGAGCCCTTCTGTTCCTAAATCTCTGGCAAGCACATCTCAAGGAGGCTCTTGATTATTTCAATCTGAGTTGGCTCCAGATAAAGTTAAAAACAAGTTTATCAAGTTACATACCATAATCTGCTCCTTTCATATGTAATTACCAGATTAATCCTTGAATCCTTCCCTCCACAAAATAAATTCAGAAAACCTTAAGCTACAATCTGAACACCTGATCTTGGCTGCTCCAATCCTGCCCTGTAATACCACACTGCCTATGTGCTTGGGAAAATCAGTATTCCAAGACCTTGTCCTCCATTCAACAGGAGATGTTCCCATGGACACCCGTTGTCTGCGCTCAACTGTAACCTCTATAACTTTGGAGGTTTTTGCGGGATTCTTCAACTCGCTTAGAAACCTTGTCACCCCATCCTATGGGTCCTGACTGGAGAGTCCTCCACATTTTCACAAGGTTCACATGACATTTCCAGTACTTACTCAAAAGTCACCCTCTGGGGTCTTTTCTAGACAATTTAAAGTGTCACCCCAATCCTCTTGATTCTACATCATTTTCATCTTTCTAACTTACCATGAGGGTTTGTGGGTTGGTTTTAAGCAAACTCTAAACACATTCTATTATTAATGAACAAATATTATTCATGCAATACTTTACTTTGTAATCCATTATTTAAAACAAAGACAATTTTTGTTCTTTATGTTTTGAGCAAATCATATTCTGTGTTTCACTTCTTAATTTTATTGTTGGTATCACCTATGGGCGCTATTCTATTTTGTCCACTAAAACACCTGGCGCTCGGTAGGTGCTCAGGCAGCCCTAGTATGGCACGGATCCCTTCTGCATTCCCTCTGCTCCATGTGTACTGCCAGCCCAACTCACTGGGCAGTGCACGGCCCTGCAGGCCTGATGTAATAGGACGAGGATGCAGAACGTAGAGATGAACAGACCAAGTTACAAATTCTGTGCTATCATTTCTTAGCCGTGTTATCCTGGGCAACTCAATAACCACTCTGAGCCATCATGCCTCTTCCTGGCAAATAAAGACAATCACATCTACTCTGCAAAGTTGAAGGGAGGATCGGAACTTAGGCAGTGAGGTATTTGGAATCTGGCCATGCACATCAAATGGTAGCTAATTAATCGCCACGTCCACCTGTCTCCTATTTGGCATGTGGCGTTCTAGCTATGTCCAAAGGAAGACCAGAATATGTTCCTCATTCTCCTAGGCCTTCAAGATTTGGGATATCCAACCGCACGCACTGGCTTGCTTCAGTTCCACAGCCAGTAACCTTACCTTGGTGGCAATGGCAGACACTGCAGCTGTTCTTTTGGCAGTTATGACATTTCCATCCATGACCTTGGAGGAAGGAGAGACAGCGAGCATAGGTCACTTCTGCCCATTACTTTGGTAATGGAAGCAACCCTAACACAGTAGCCCTAGGGGCCTGTACACCATTCTGCAGAGAGCATGCCTGGGAAGGCTGGCACCTAATCCTTCCACCTAAGAGGTATGCAATTTCAAACTGTTTAATCTCTAACACAGGTTTCCTTCCTCATTCATACAAACACAGATAAGGCCAATCATTCATAGGGCTACTGAGAAGCTTCAGTGCACGGGCATATGGCAAAACATCTGGCACAGAGTGAGTTCTCAAGAGCTGCCTTCTTTGTTTGCTTTCCCTGAGAGTCTCAAACCCAATTAAGGAAGAACTTGATGATACGACTCTCATTTCACGTGTGGGCAAGGCCTAAAACTCCTCCTCAGCGGTTCCCACCTCACACCGCACACGCAGGGAGCTTTGTGAAGATGCTATCCCGCATACTACCTTCTCATGTCCTGAGTCTGAATCTCGCGCTTGGGCTACAGTGCACACCTTGCGTTCATGGGGCCCTAGCTTCAATCATTAGTGCCACCCAGACACAAAACCAAAAACAGATCACTGAGCCTCTAGGGGCAGGACCCAGACATCCTTGTTTTTAAAAGCTCCCCAGGTGGTTCTGATGCACAGCAAGAGCTGGGATTATGTTAATAATAACAGAAACCGCCCTCGCACTGATCTCCACTTAGTAGTACTCTCCTCAACCCACCCCCAAAAGCAGGCACCATTATCCCCATTTTACGTGAGCAGTTACGGAGTAAGGGTCTCTGGTCCTGTCACGTTTCTTCGAAGGCCCACTCCCACTGTCCTGGGGAACCACTGCTATAAATGGCATAGATGCCACTGCCACTGGATGAGCAGAGGTTTGCAAGAGACACTTCTCAGAGCAGTGGGAACAAGCAGACTTCATGGGGAAACAGAAACACAGGGGAGAAGGAAATTCTAAGAGCCGACTGGAAGACTTAGGGCACACGTTCTCATCACCTAGACCTGGGAGTGGTCCCTGAGTCTTTAGCTCTAATAATTTGAGCCACAGGACCAGGGCAAAAACTGGGGGAAAGAAGAGGGAACCCAAAGTCCCGTGGAGGACAGTCAGAATAGAATGTGATCATGGCTGGCAGTTGATACCGGGCAACAAGCGGGAGTTGGCGTGGCATGGGGAGGTCTGAAGTCCACCCACGATACCTACAGCTACACAGATCTGGCTAAGTTGGGCCCAGTTGGTCTGTGACTCAGTTTCCTCATTGGTAAAGTGGTAGCAATACTATTACCCACCTTGTAGGTAGTTCTACTTTTTAAGAGGGTTAATGCACATTAAGGGTCTAGAATAGTGTGGGACACATAAAAAGCAATAAAAGTCATTGCTACTTTTTGATGCTGTGATTAGATGTTGAAACAGGTCACTGTACACCCTTCAGAAAAGATCTCACAGAGTAGGTAACACCCTTTCCAAGTGGACAAGGGTTTGGTAAATAAATGTTTCCTCAGCTTCTGGTTTAGTTCAAGCGACGTGTTTAGGGTGTCGAGCACATGATGAGAACACCCACAAGAACGAGGAGTTATTTCCAGAGTCACACCTGGAGGGGCAGAAGGCTCAGATGCGCCGCAGGCAGCCTTGGAAATAGGTGCACCACAGGGAGAGGCTTCTCAGTCCCTGCTCTCCTGTCACTGGTAGAGGGGCCTTCTGTCTGTCTGTCTGTCTCTGTGTGTGTCTCTCTCTCTGTCTCTCTGTCTCTGTCTCTGTCTCTGTCTCTGTCTCTCTCTCTCTCTCTCTCTCTCACACACACACACACACACACACACACACGCTCAAGGAGCACTAACTTCACAGCCTGCCCTCCACCCTGGGGTCGGTGCTCACCGCCAGTAGGGAGCCGTTGCTGGGCTCAAAGAGCAGCACGATGGCCTGGTGGGAGGGGACCGCGGAGCCCGGGCTGTGGCCCTCGTAGAAGGTGACCAGCTTGGTGGTCAGGGCATCCTCCGCTGCGCTGTAGACAGGCATCACGCCCAGGAAGCTACAGGGAGAGAGGGGACAGATTCACGGCTGCAGGGTCCTCCGACGTCCTGCGACCTCTTCTGAGTCCTCCGCCGCAGCTGCACTGAACCCCCTGCCCCGGGACCCTGCCCTTCCCTCGGGCGCGGCCGGTTAGCAGCGGGAGAGCCTCGCCTCCCCAGGAGAGCGAGCGCGGCGCAGGAGCCGGCCTGTCCCCGACTGCGGCCCTCCCAGGCCCCGCCGGGCCCCCGCCCCGGCCCGCGTCCCCGCTCACCCCCGGTGCTTGGCCACCGGCACCACGGTGCGCACCGGCTGCTCCACGCCTCCGTCCGGGCCGCGGGAGAAGTTGGCCAGGGCGGCCTGCAGGGGCGGCAGGAGGAGGCCGGAGCCGCGCAGGTGGCGGCGCACCTCGGCGGCGCTCAGGAAGGCGGGGGCCCGGCTCATCTCGCCGCCGCTGCGACCCGGTCCCGGCTGAGCGCCGCGGCTGCAGGCGCCCGGGGACGCCCCGCCGGCTCCGCCCCAGGGAGGGCCCGGCCGTCCCCCCGGAGGCGGAGCCGGCGCGCCCCCGAGGAGGGGCCCTGCCCCTCGGCAGCTGGGGACGGTCGCGAGAAGGGGGCCTCGCGGCGGGGTCTTCTAATTATTCCCTGCTGCCAGACGGTCTGAGATAAAGAGATGGGAGGGCTGTCAACATTTCCTGCCCTTCTGTCCCCGTCGGAAGCCTCTAATCCCAATCCCCTCTCACCCTCTACCCCAGCAAACTGGGTGCTAATTAAGTGCGCTGGTTCCCAGGCTAATTAACCAGTCAACGCTCATCTTCAAAGGGGGAGGTCTAGGGCCAGGGGCTACGACCTCGGTCACACGGAGGTGAAGGCAGCGTATTCTTCCGGCAGCGTGTTTTCCCAGTTCATATTGCGCTTGAACCGGGGAAGAAGACAGGTAGAAGAATACCGAAGAACAAGAACGGAAGCCCACAGCCCTTAAACCGGCAGTGGGGAAGGTGTTTTGTTGTTGTTCTGTAATGCAAAGAGAGGGATTAATTTGACCTGGATTGGTCAGATAAGGGTGCCCTGAAAAGCAGAGAAAATAAGCTTGAAAAACAATAAGTTCAACAACAACCATTACTGATTTTCTCCAGTACCAGTACAGCGCAAAGCCCTGCACGTGCGTTTTCTCATGGAATCACGCAGCCGCCTCGGCCGGCTGCGGGCGTGGCTGCGGGCCTCGCTGTTCTTTTTAGGCCCGAGAAGGGCAGGAGTTTGTCCGAGTCATCCTGCAAGTCAGCGCAGTTGGGCTTTGCTTGAGGAGGCAGAGTCCACAACTACTGTTACACCTGCCCGCAGATCTCAGGCCAGGCGCAGCCCACGGGGGAGGACCGTCCTCCAGTCCTTGGGCACAGTGAGTTGCCGGCCAAGTCGCGCCGGAGCAGGGGGCAGAGCTCTGGGGGCGTCAGGAGACACAACTGGGAACGCTTGTTGGAGTCAAGTGCTGAGGAGAAAGAATCACAGGCTCAGCAGGATTAAACAATCACAAAGGCCTGTCCCATGTCAAAGTGCAGAGTGGCACAGGCGAGCAGGAGTGGAACATGAGAACATGGGGCACAGTTTCCTGTTATTTTACTTGGGAGCTGTATAGGGGATTTCTTAGGAAATGGCCACATCATAACAAGACAGGGCACAGGGGTTAAAATATGTACTGAGATCGCCTATAATCCAGGTAGCTAGGAGGTGGCACTGCCGAGCCACATAATAAAGAAACCTCTTTTAGAGTATTACCATAAAAGGAGGGAAGCCCTGGAGAACTAGGAAAATGTGATTTTAGATACGCACATAATTTTGTTTCTTCAGTTTGCTACCCCTAGAAATTTATGCCCAGGGTGAATGGGTTTACAGAACTGTTAGTGGATCCTTATTGGTAGTATACTTAGTGTTACATAATATTTACTAGATTTTAAAAACGACAGAGGTATGAAGAAGATAAACAGACTGGTCTTGAGGAGGGAAAAAAAAGTAAAACCAAATACTCAAAAACTAAAAGGGAGATATAAAATCGGAAAGCTAGATATTTATTTCCATTGTGAGTTAAGGAATTTATTTCAGGTTTAAAGAAAACTCTCCTACTTATTTCTAGGAAGTTCCATAAAGGCAGGACTAGTTTGTACATCACTTCAAATTATCTTTCCTGCAAAGCTCTGTGTGACATTACCAAGCCACTGTTTTAACTTTTAATTTTGAGACAGAATCTTGCTAAATTACCTAGCTTGGCTCAAACTTTCGATCTTCCTGCCTGAGTGTGGGAATTAGAGGTGTGAACAGCCACACCAGCCTTTTTGGGTATTACTGAGGTTTTAAATTTTATTATTTTTAAAATAGTAAAACTATTAACTAATGTAGCAGAAAGAACGTTACTACGCTCGTTTGTAAGGTAGGAGTCCCTAGCCTAGAAAAGTTACCATAACCCTTTCTACACCCCAGGAGAGGCAAGGTCACCAGACTTCTGCCTTCCCGGCTCCCGGGATGAAGCAAGTGTAGCAGCCCTGTAATTCACCTACAGCACAAAACTAATAGGACATACAGTACTTAGTGCTCAAGATACTCAATGTAACTATAAAACACAAAACAAATACACTGTAAACAAATATCAAAATTTTAAACCCGCCTGTAATCGCAGTATGCGGGAGGTTGAGGCAGAAGGATGGGGTGAGTCCTAGGCTAGCCTAGGCTCCACAGTGAGTTTAAGGCCAGCCAGTACAAATAGCAAGACCCCGTCTCAAAAAACCAAAAAACAACAACAAAAAAGAACACCAAAAATTTAAATAAAGACAAGGTTAGAAATCTCCCTTTTGCTTCAGATTCCAACATCCTTACGCATTAACTTTAATTTTTTTTTTTTTTTTTTTTTGTTCCTCGCATGCCTTCAGGGCACGTTTGGCCAGCGGGAGAGTTGTGAGGTTCGAACTCCAGCCACCTGAGGCTGACAGCTTTGTGGAAGCAGCCACTTAAAGGACTGAGCTAGGGCCAGGCCCCCTCATTAACTTTAATTTAAAAGATATTTTTATTAGTGTTTATCTCGACCTGTGATCTGCGTCCCTTAGGTACTGCTGCCAAGGCTAGGGTCTCACTTCTCTTACTCCAGTCTCCCTAGTTCTGTAAGCAGCTCAGCGACACGCTTCTGGAGCAGCGCTCACTGGACCCTTCAAGAGGGAGGAGCGCTGCCGAGGGTGGAGGCGGGGCTGCTGGAGCGTCGCCCCGCCCGCCCACGGCCCCGCCCACCCACGGCCCCGCCCACGGCCCCGCCCACCCACGGCCCCGCCCCTCGCCACAACTTCAAGAACAACAAAAGGGAACCGCCACGAGGAGCAAGCAATTAGACAGCGGGAAAAGTAGAGAACCTACTGCAGAAAAATAACATGACAAATATAAGCCAATATGTATCAGTTATAACCACCAATGTAAATGGCCCCAATTCACCAATCAAAAGAAGCAGACTGGCAGAGTGGATCAAGAAACAAAATCCAACAATAAAGTATATTCAAGAAACACATTTAACTCAAAATTAGGCCAATTTAGAAACTCCTAACTTAGCATGAAGTCTGTAAATTTAATAATAAGCATTACATTTAAACTTAGACTCCACTTAGAATGACTTAGACTTTAATTCATTGTTCATTAATAAAACATTTCTTACTTAAACAATGGACTATAGCACATTAAGAGAAATATAGGGAAAGTGAAATATTTATTTCCCTGGTATTTACTTTTTTAACAAACATTTTGATATGACACACAAGATTGAACACAGATTTTCCTTTGAACAAAAACATTTTGAGATTGTAATGATACTACTTTAGTAGCACTTGTAAAGCAAGACAAATCTTTTTATTGTTCTTTCCCCTTTCCACTGGAATAAAATGAAACATAGTTGGACATTTCACTTTTAAATTGATTTGGTAGCCACAAATTTAAAAAAAAATACATAGATATTCAATTGTTTTTATTTGTAATATATACATTTACCTATTGGTAAAGCTGTATTAAAAAATTAACAGAAAAGGGCATTTATTTAGATACTTTCATTATCAGCCTAATAGATAGATATTTTCCCCTCCAGTAATGCACTTTCCAGTAGTATATCTGATGTTTCCAGGATTCCATTTGACCTATGGAATTAAAAATAAGGTAATAACAAGCCACTCTGCCTTGGAGCCAGCTGGTTATGGACTGAAACATCTACAAACTGTGAGCTGAACAGCTTTTTAACTCCCCTAAAAAAAAGAAGAACCCAGTTTTAATTAGTGCCAACTTAATTTCTATGGTATGCAAAAAATTCTACTGCTAAATGCCTTTGTTCCCTACCCATGCTGTTCCACCTTTATACATTATTACACATATAACTCCCCCACCCCTCCTCCAGACCTGAGCACCCCACTCCTAGCCTGGCACTCCCATCTCCAGCCAAGTGCCCTCTGAGCCTCAGGTGGGGTCTTAGGGTGTCCAGGTCAGGGCAACCAGGCACATTCCCAGAGTGGCTCGTCAGGAGCAGGAGACCCTCAGGCCTCTGGGGATCCCTGCCCACAAACAGGGTAGTGCCTCACTGGGCGGTCCTTAGCTCCTGTGAGGCTGGAGGCAGGGTGAGTAGGTAGCATGCAGGGAGAAGACCCTCAGCCCAGAAGGTGATCCACATCCCCTAATGGTTTTGTTTTTGGTGAGGGATGTGCTGTGGTTTTTACTTTCATTACGAGAGAACTTAAAAAAGCAAAAGACATAGCTATGGCACTGCCATGTGTGAGCTTTTGAAAATATATTTAGTAACAGGGTCTCACTACACAGATTGGACTCATAGTGATCCTTCGGTTTTCAGCCTCCAAGTGCTGGGATTACAGGCACACGCCACCACACCCAGTCTCATTCCATGTCACAGCATGCCCCAGGGACAGGGCCAGCATGGCAGACATACCAGGGATCGAACTCCCATTGCTGAGCCTGCCTAAGCAGGCGCTTTAGCCCACTAAGCTATCTGGCCAGCTTGATATAAGCAAGTATATCTGGCTTGCTTATATAAGCAAGTATTCTTATTGCTTATGCCAATAAAAACAAAACACAGGGGTAAAATTGATTCCGAACCCCTCAGATAAGAAATTTTCATCCAGTAACATGTGAACAATTGGAAGATCCTACTCTCCTAGCTCTCTCTCAAAGAAGTGTAATCTGATCATAACTTTCATAAGTTATAAATACATTAGAATTTTAATGGTATTTATGCTATTTTGATTGGTTTATTAGTTGTATGAATCCAAATAGACTCTTGAGTGTGTCTCAAATATCTAACAATTCCTTCCTATGCCTCTTACTGACTTGTCCTGAAAAATTTTTCTGTAACTGGGGTCAGCAAAACTGCTTCAAAAAGCGTGAGTAAAGTTTCTTACTTAAATTTTTAGAATTTATCAGACTCAGCCCGGTGACATTGTCTCTTGGCAAGGCAGTGG